ACTTTTGTTTTTTGCGTGACTGCATTATCCCTCCCCCCCCCCCCCCCCCCCCTCGGTTCGCCTGCACCCGAGTAGAATCAATAATGTCAGACCACAGCAACGGCGCCCACAAAGGCGACGGCTTCGTCGAGACCCCGGGCGAGACCATCGACCGCTTCCGCTCCGCCGCGAGCGTCTCCATGACGCCGGAGCTCTTCGAGAAGCTCTACCTCTCGCCGCAGAGCGCCGTCAAGGGCGACCTGCGCAGGACCTTTGCCAACCCGACGCCAATGTACGGGGACCCCGCCCGCCTTGAAGGACCTTGAATCGCTAATCGTATGTGCGTGTGTGAAAAGTGCGGTCGCTGGGTTTATCCTCTGCTTGTCGCCGCTGGCGTGCGACCTCATGGGCTGGCGCGGCGCGGGCGGCAACGGCGCCGCGAGCATGTAAGTCGAGCCCCCCCACCCCCAACCCTTTCAACACTGCACCCAGCTAACATTTCTCGCCTTCTTTCTCCGGCGCATGCTAGTCCGGTCTATTACTTTCAAGGCGGTATCCTCATGACGCTTGGCGCGCTGCTTGAGTGGATTCTCGGCAACACCTTCTCCGCCGTCGTCTTCGGCACCTTTGGCACCTTCTGGCTCTCCTTCGCCGGCACGCTCTCGCCCTCCTTCGCCGCCTTCTCCTCCTACGCGCCCCCCGATGCGCCCGCCGCGGCCGGCCTCGAAACTACCGGCTTCAACGCCAGCTACGGCACGTCACCCCCTACTTCCCGAAGAGGTTTTTCTTTTTTTTTTTTTCTGGCTGCTGTTCATGGGGCTTCTCTGCTTCGTGTACATGATCTGCTCCCTCCGGACCAACATCGTCTTCGTGCTCATATTCCTCTGCCTGGTCGTCTCGTTTGGCCTGCTGACCGGCGCGTACTGGGCGCTGGCGCGGGACTTTGCCGGCAACGCGGCCGGGGCGCAGAAGCTGGTCGTCGTGCGTCTACCCATATTATACAAACCCCCACCCCCCTCGCAGGAAAGATCGATGGCTAACAAGAGAGAGTTTTGTAGGGCGCGGGCGCGGCGAGCTTCGTGTGCTCGTCGCTCGGGTGGTACCTCTTCTTCGCGCTGCTCTTCGCGGCCGTCGACTTTCCGGTCCAGCTGCCAGTCGGGGACCTGACCACGCTGGTCAAGGGGCACAGCGAGAAGAACAAGATGGCGTAAGCCGTCTCGGATGGGTGTGTCAAGTCACGACGAGGTGGTTCCAAACCTATAGTGCATTTTTCAGTGGATGTAATGGCTGTTGGCGACGTAATGCTGGGAGCTTGTTAGGCTTTTGCGTCTTGTGTGTGCTGCAGGGTGTGATGCTTGCCCACCAGACAAGCCAATTTTGGGCACGATTTCGCGCCCCCTGTCTCGTACCCTCTGTCTCACGCCCTCTGTTTCTGTATTGTTTTATTTCCTTTGATTCTATTAAATGATGTGGCCTTTTTAAGTCCAGGCGCCCTGATAGGACGAGAATCGTGGGGGTTTGCCCCCAGCGTTGACCATCGTCCTAACGACCACCGTCCAACAGCCTAAAAACGTCTCACCCAACATACAACCCTTTTTAAGCATCTACTTGACCAATAGTTTATCGCTATTATACCCCAGGCATGCCCCTCCTCCCCTTGCCGCAGCCCGTCACTTCTAATAGACGGCATCGCTGAGCTGGCCAACCTCGATGTCGTCGCCGCTCTCGACCCCACCCTCCACCCCGAAGTCTACACGAACGACATCTCCCGCACCTCGGGCGTGCGGAAAGCTGGCGGCGGCACGATGGGACGGTGGCGACTGGTTCGAGGGCCTTCCAAGAGGGCTGGGGAACGCGCGTCTTGCGAGGCGGGACGCGCTGGGTGTCAGCTACAGGCCGCGGACGGGACCGCGGCCGTTAGACGGGCAGGGGGACACGCCGGGGCTTCCGTCGCAGGAGGAGAGGGTAGCTTAGATTAATAGGATAGCTTAACATTAAAATTATTGCTGAGATCAAGAGGATAACTTCTGGGCTGGGGCATCGGAAGGAAGTATGTATGCAGCTTTGCTGCATATAAGGTGTCATAACGACGGCAAGACAATGCCTCGGACAGCACCACAGAAACAAGACTACGCATAATGGTCACTTTCCGTGGAACTTAGCATCTCGTGAATTCGCACATGTATGTATATACATAACACCAATTGCACCCCTTACTCCGTCCAGAACCCGATGTTGCTCCACGTCACATCGATCGGGCCCCGGCCGCTATCCGTCGTATACGTGCCAATCTTGTCATAAAACGAGCCCCCCGGCGCACTCGCCGTGTACTTCAGCTGCCCATCCACGTACACCTGATACATCCTGCCCCCCGCGTCGTGCACCGTGTTCACCGTCACCGTCCTGCCCGCCCTCGCCGCGCCCGCCGCGATCGTCTTCCCCCCGTCCCGCACGCTGTACAGGTCCCCGTTCCGCTTCACGCCCAGGATGAAGAACGGGCCGTCGTCGCCGTTGAACGTCTGTTTCAGTGAGACGCGGTCGCCGGCGAACGAGTTGATCGTGAGCTGGCCGCCGAACTGGTGCTTGCCGGAGGAGTAGTCGTTGGCGTAGCGCCGCTCGGCGCGCGGGTGCCCGTTGGAGCAGCCCGCGCCACCGCCGGAGCCGTCGGGCTTGGCGGGTAGGGAGAACTCGTTGCCGGCGACGCGCCCGCCCTCGCAGGTCTGCACGTTGAAGGACGGGTTGGCGACTTTCCAGCCGCTGCCGCCGACGGGCGAGACGGCGGCGAGGGTGGAGGTGGCGGACAGCGCCAGGACGATGATCTTGCCGAGCATTGTGGAGCGGATTTTTTTAGGGGTGGTGGTTGTGGGTGGTGAATTGGCAAGTTGGGATTTCTGTGTCTGTACGGAGTAAAGGAAGGCGAGATTGACCACGCTTCTTTAACGGAGGGTTGGTCAAGCTCCTTTAATAGTACAGCGCTGGCAGTAGTCCACGCATCAACGATCTGCCGGCGCGTCTAGATCACTGCCGCGAATACTTCCACCTATCACAGACTCAGAAAGGTCGACAAATAGACAGCCGCTTGTGCTAGCATCACCCGAACCCAGGTCGGGATACTGGCATAAGCACCATCGTGCAATTTCCCCGCAACCCCGAAATCGTGCCTACAATAGGTCAGCTCGTAAGCCGCCTTGTTGAATCAGCTCCCATGGATGCACGGGGAATGTGCATCATTGGTGGGAAAGTCTGACGCCGGGCCGTCCCCCCGGCCGCTGATTGCCGATCCCCGGCTTCGACGGTACCGGGGCTGAGGTGCGGGAAGTCCATGCTGCTAAGAACAGGTGCGATGCATTCCACCTTCATCCATGCAACGCAGGTCTAAAACGGCTGCTAACCGACCCTAGATCTGTCCGAGGCATGTCACGTTGCGGCGGGAAAGAATGCATGGTGATAGATGTACTCTAACATTACTTATCTGTACACGGCGCTTCTTGTTCCTCCTCCTCGCACCCTGTAGAACAGAAAACACCTCAGGAAAACAGCAGGGCAAAATCATGGAGACGGAATGTGCGAGAGAGTGTTGTTCTTCTTCTTCCACAGCGGAGGGCGCAGATAAAGCCGCGCGGTTCTTTCATAGTCGTACATGTTCATCCACGCGCTTTCAGTTGCCTCGGTACTCCTCCAGCGGAACTCCTCAAACCGCGCTGTAGCCACCCCGGCTGCCCGCGCCCTGCACCGTGTTGAGCACCCGGCGTATCCAGTCCTTGAGCAGGTACGGGATGTCCCGAATCGTGTCGCCGTGCGGGAGGAGGTCCCAGCCGCGGGCCCCGTACCGGTTGTAGTTGAGCCACGACCCAAAGATGAGGTACGCCGCCGTGCCGAGGAAGCCGCTACAACACTTTCGTTAGCCCTTGACAACTATGACTCGAGTATAGTGAGCCAAACACTTACACGATAATCAGCCAGGTAAAGAAGCCCCAGTTGCTGCTGCTACTCGGAGGCTCCTCCGGATCCTTGACGTCGTCGTCGTCGCGCTTCTCGCAAGCATACTTGGTGTGCCAAGTCAACCGCAGAATGTCCGCGTCTTTCTCCACGCCGTAGCTCTCCCACAGCAGCGACGCGTCCTCCTTCTTTAATTGATGCTCCACCTCTTCGTTACTCGTATCGTCGTTGTCACCCTTTTCCTTCTTGTCATCACCTTCCTTCGCATCGTCCGCCTCCTTGTCGTCGCGCCTGCGCTTCGCGCCGCTGCCGCTCTCGTACTTGTCCTCAGCCTCCCACTCGCCCTCCAGGCCGGTGCGATTGCGATCGCACAGGAATTCAATCACGGCCCGCTGCTCCCGCTTCTCGTGGCGGCCGCCCTTGAGAACGAGCCGTAGGCCCTCCTTCTTCGAGTCGGCGTTGGAGTCGCTCGTCTTGAGCCGCGTAACGTCGTAGTCGAACGCAGTGCCGCCATGATTCTCCAGCGAGCCCGCGATGGGAATGACCTCGGTGATTTGGTCCGAATTGTCGCCGATGACCCTCTTGATCGCGCACACTGAATAGAAGCACACTCTTGTCAGCAGCTGTAAATGTCCCCGCCTTGCCGGCCCAAGCCTCCTTCCATCGTCACTTACCTCGCGTGCCGTTCGGGCACTCCTCCGTCTTCTTCGCGTCGCCGCTTTTCTTCAGGTTCCCGCACACGTCGAGCGTGTACGTCCGGTTGTGGTGCAGCCCGGTGATGGGCTCGAGCCGCGAGGTGACGACCGAGTGCGGGCCGCCGAGCTTCGACAGGTCAAATGTGTGCTCGCTGGCGACAATCTTAGTGCAGTCCAGCATCGCCGATGCCGATGACGCCCCTAGGAGCGCCGTGACCAAGACGTCGGAGCGCATCGTTGAGAGGGTTAGGAGTGAATAGCTGGAGGGCGGGCAACGACTCGCGTGACAAGAACAGCTAAGCTCTCCCTCGGGCAGGGGTGTATCGTGTCGCTCGGCTTAGATTCGGATGAAGCGGGAAGAGGAGCAAAGGAAGGCCGAATTCCGAATAATGCAAGTTCGTAAAGAATGGATGCAACCGCTAGCAGCCCTTGCGGATGTCTCCCGAGTTGGATGGCTTTATTAGGTTGCAGTGATGATGCTACAGCTTTTGGCGTTGTGCCATGTCGTAATAGTTGTCGGTTGGGTGCTACACGTGACCCACTTCGAGTACAGCATCCGTGACAATTTCATGCCGCTTCAATCACTAAAAACCGCCATTTCTTCAGGGGTAACACGGAACAGGTGCTGATTATATAGTTTGCGAAATTCTCGGAAGATTTCGATGTTTTTTTTCCCTCACTTCTGTGCCGCATACTCCCGGCACGTGGATTCCTACATCTGATATAGCAGTATCCGTAGACTAATAAGCATTAGGTACTTCGTACCTACTACATGCAACACACATTATGACACACAGAATGACCACTTCATCAGCGAATTATAATAATTCAATACACAAGCGTAACTGTGACGCTAACTAAAGAGGCCGCTCGATTCCTGAGGAGGCATATGCATGGGGCCTGCCATAAGCAACGAAAGAATAACAAATACAGCATAAAACAAAATTCCTTCCGTAGGGTATTAGGAAACCTTGCCTAAACACAATAGCCATGCTCGCGTAAATCGGCCGATTTCTGGGCCAAGGTAAAACAAACTCCTTGCTCCGTACCGCCAAAAGTATAACCGGATCCAATTCGTGCCTCTCCCCCTTTTGTTGCTCCCGCGTGTATCCAATCTTCGAAAATACAAACCAAGAAAACGTCAGTGTCAAGGCAAACAAAACAACAAGGAACAAGACCAAAAAGCACACGGCCGCTTACATCCCCTGCGGCCCCATCATACCACCACCCATGCCCTGCATAGACTGCTGCTGCTGCTGCTGCTGTTGTTGCTGCTGCATCATAAGCTGCTGCTGCTGCTGCTGGGCAACCTGTGCTCGTCTTTGCATAAACTGTGTCTGAACTTGCTGTTGGGCCTGCATCGTTGCTACATGCCTCATTCTGTCCATGGTCTCTGACGGGATGTGCTCTGGTCCGCCATACTTAGGGGCGGTCGTAGCCACCAGCCGTTGAAAGAGGTTCTTGGCATGAGCACTAATCTGCATCGACATCATCCGCTGTTGTGGTGTCATGTTTTGGCCGAAATTCGCTTGGCCCTGCTGGCCCTGCGGCTGTTGCTGCGGTTGCTGCTGCTGCAGCTGTTGTTGTTGTTGTTGCTGCTGCGCCTGCTGCTGCAGCGCTTGCGCTTGCGCCTGTTGCTGCATTTGTTGCTGCTGCATTTGTTGCTGCATTGCCGCCATCGCTTGCATATTGGGACCATTGCCGTTCTGCATGTTATTCGCGTTGCTGTTCATGGCTTGGCTCATTTGTCGTTGCATCGCGTTGCCCATCTGGCCAAACTGGCCCATCCGAGCCATTTGTTGAATCTGCTGCTGGATTTGCGGGGGCATCTGCCGCAGCTGCCCGCTCTGGAGGTGTTGCAGCTGCTGCTGATAGAGTGCTTGCTGCTGCTGCTGCTGAGGGGTCAATACCCCGCCTTGCTGCTGCTGTTGTTGCAGAAGGGCCTGACGCTGGAACAAGGCCATCAATTGCTGCTGCTGTTGCTGCGTTATGGGTTGGCCATTCATCGTTGGCGTTCCGCTATTCTGCATGGCCGCCACCTGCTGTTGCTGCATCAACCTTTGCTGAGCTGCCAACTGTTGAGCCAGCATCTGATTCTGGGGATTCATGGCGTGGTTATTCGGCATGCCCATGGTGTTAGTCATGTTACCGGCCATGTTACCGCCGGCCTGTGAGGCCTGCGCCATCATGTTGGGCGGCGGGCTGGCTTGCGTCATGCGAGGCGTCGCGCCCATGGCCTGCCTGTTGATTGGTGTAGCATGCGCCATATTAGGGGTTGCGTTGGGCATACGAGGAGTGCCCGACGCGTGACTTTGTTGGCTGCCTCTGGCTGACATGTTATGGGCCATGGGAGCAGACATCGGGTTTTGTACAACAGAGGGCGGCCGTGGTGGGCTGCCCGCGGCGCCAGAGTTGGATGGTTGCATAGCTGCGCTACCAACCATTGGCGAGGACATGTTTTGCGGCGTACCCTGGCGAACAATTGGCGAGGAAGCTGCTTGGGCTTGTGCCATTTGCGACGGGAATCTGGCCTGAGCAGCGCCATGCATGCCGTTCTGTATCCCAGGGTTGGCAGCCCCGCCATTTGGCGCCATACCGCCTTGATTGTTGCGCTGGGCCATCTGGGCCGCCTGCTGCGCTTGTGCGGATTGCGCGGCTTGTGCCTGTCGGTTAGCCAGGGCTTGTCGCTGTGCCTCCGCTTGTCGTAGTTGATTCTCTCGATTAATGGCGGCTTGTCTAGCGCGCTCGGCTTCTGCCCGCTGTGCTGCTGCTTGCTGCTCTCTCTGGTGCTGCAGGCGTTGCTCAGCCAGTCGCCGGTCATTTTCTTGCTGCTTGATTTTCTCCTGTTCCTTCTTCTCTGCATGTTGCCTCTTGATTTCTTCAATAGCCTTGAACCGCTCGAAGCGTGGTTCGAATGTAGCGGCCCCATTTTGAGCATCGCCATCCGCCGCCCCGGCGCTTTGTCCACTCGCATTAATGGAGGAAAGACGCTCGTCCAGAACAAGCATATAGCGTTCCTGGTCCGCGGCCGCGGCTTCGTCTGCCGCAACTTCGGCAACAGTGCGCTTTCTGGTCTTTGGTTGCGGGGGTAACTCGGTGTGCTTGGGGTGAGACATAGCCTCTAGGAGCGCAATCGTCTCCTCTGCATTCTTGGTTGGAGTCAAGATCAATGGCGCCACAGTAGCCAACAAGATCTGTCCCTCTGCAATGTAGATGTTGGATCCGTCCAGTTCTGTCTTGTCTCTTCGTTGACGTTTTGCAGGTGGCGGCATGGTATTGACAGTCGGGGTTGGTGGATTTCCAAGTGATAGGGGTGTCGGTGGTGGTACATAAGTTTCCGGGATGCCCTTTGGAGTTGTGGCCTTGATTTGAAGATCCATGTACAAACTTTCCGGGGTAGGATGCAGCACGACCGTGAAGACCTTTGGTTTGGCGGCGACCTTGGGCCTTTTCTCTTCCTGGCCATCAACTTGGGAGGATTTACCTTCCACTTGTTTTACATCTTCTTCCGTCTTCTTGATTCCATCGTTTGCTCCCTGTTCATCTTTTGGAAATGGGAGGTAAGGGGAGGGCGTGAGCCACTGATTGTAGTTGTGAACAGACGATGCCACAGTCTTGGTTGATGCCGAGGTTGGTCGCGCAATATCCTTAGATTGCGCTGCTGACTTGTGGTCGTGGAGTTGGACAATGAGACATCCATCGTAAAATGCGACTTTGTTTTGGACGAAATACTGGAGAAGGTCGTGGGGAATGGTGCGGACTCGGACGTGCTCAAGGAAGAGCTTCATGGGCGACTTGTACGGGAACATACCATCCTGCCCATCGAATCGGAAATGCGTAGCGTGTAAGTGCACGACAAGAGAAGGCGGACTGCCGGCGTGTTTCGTGAGGATGTATGAGTCGGATACAACTGCGTCGTGGTTAGCGCGCGACGGGGATAGGCACGTAGCAGGAATAATAATAAAAAATACCATATGGAAGTGTTCCTCCCCCGTTAGCAGCAGCATCGTCTGAAATTGACCCGGTGCGCTTCCCAGCGCTATTCCGTGAATGCCTGCCGAGGGTCTGCGACCCTGGGTCGCGCCGTGCGCGATTGACAGGCCGAACTGTGGGGATCACAGCCGCACCGCCGACGGCGCTGGCAGGCGGCTTCGCGGTCGCAGCCATCTTTTTATTTGCGAGCGCTGGCGATGACGAGGCTGTGGGATACGCGACGACACCGTTAATGCCGGTTCCTATCGGCGATAGTTTCTTTGCTTTCAGCCCAGGGGTTGGTATAGCGACCGCGGTTGCCGGGGACATATCTCCTCGAAGCGCGCACCGCGGCCGGCGCTGTGAGCGTGGAGATGGTGCTGCCCACCCGTCGCAGCTCTATCGTAAGGGTCCTCCGATCCAGTCAATACGCGAACATTGATGAATAGGTCCAGTGGTTGACAGAATTCGATGCCGATCGTCGTCGCGACCTGCTCGGCGCAAGTCGTTGGAGGGGCTACCTGGTCGTGCTCGGCGATGCCGTCGCGGAGAAAACGAGCGAGTACTGGACGGCGCGAGGGTTTGGTATCAAAAGTATTTGGCGTGCATCTCCTGATGCAGTTTTCAAGTAAGAGCGAGGGGCCGTGGCAGAATCTGGAGAGTCGGATGAAGTTGCGATCCTGTGAGTGGAGAGCCGCTTACCCAAATGTGAGGTGGAGGTTCGATTCGCTGGAGAGAGATCGCGTCCATACAATAGCATCACGTGATCATTGTCTTCTGCTACCCTACATTCCAAACTCTATTTCCTTGTTCTTTTTTGTTCTGCGCCCGTGGACATTCATTGGTCTTTTGTACGTGTCAAAAGAAAAATCGAGTTGAAGGCAAAACTTTCCAGATATTACAAGACTGGCGGCTTTGAGAAACAATACATGTCGCAAAATACCTGTCCATAAGGTTCTTAATTACACATCATCAGCCCCCATGAATAATTAACGCCCGTGTGACTAGAGGTTACACATAAAAAAACGGCGGATAGTACTCATATTTGACAACTTCATTAACGTTCCAAAACTGATTATATTCACATTCACACGACATACCGTGCCACATCAGTGTACGTGGCCACGGCCCAAAATAACTGAAACTATACGAGCCATTTATACGAGATCCACCCCGCCAACAAAACTTATTCAACACGATTAACGCGGCGAGACCAGTCATCAGTCACGCGCATACTGTCCACGACAATGATGCCTCTGCCGCGGCCGACGCGTTCGGGTCGCTGCCACCATTTCTGCGTCTTCGTTGTGCGCTCCGCCTCCGACTCGCTGTCCGCGAGACCACCGGAGCCGCTCTCCGCGCCGACAACCAGCATGATGTCGTGCCGGAGCCATGTCTGCATGCTGGTGATGATGCTGCCGTTGTCGCCGCTTAGCGACTCTTGCAGGTATATGACTTCTGGTTGCAGGTGTCGCAGGACGTGAACATGGCCGTTGGAGGTGGTGAAGGGAAGAATCATGGCCTCCTTGTCGACAAGCGCAAGGGCCTGCGAATATACGGCGTTGAAGGCGCTATTTTCAGTAGAAGAACTAGCGCAAATGTTAGTTCGTGGGGGGTTCTTCTCGCTTTGCTAGGCGTGGGTTGGTTTGTCTTACAGGGGGTTCTTGCTCTCCTCGCCGGGCGTTTGGGCTTGATCATGGCCAATGTTAGAGAATGACGAGCTCAGGGACGACTGCGGTAGGTTACTTGTAGTGGTCTCCAGCGCATTATCCTTGAGATCAGGAGCGTAGATGAGCACAAACAACTTGACGCGAGAGAAATCGTTTTGGCGAGGGATGTGGGAGAGGATGGACTGCGAGATGTGTTAGGCCTGCATGGCGACGTCGCGGGAATGTTTACTTACAGCGTGCTCGTGGGCATCGTCGTCGGCGAAGCGGCCCAACGGGCTATCGGCGGACACAACAACGGCGACGGTGCGCCGGCGCTTATTATCCGAGACGGGACCGCGATCCTTCTTTGCGTCGGCTTCCTCGGACCAGACTCTGCTATCGTCGGGGTACTTATCCTCCTCGCGGATGGAAGCCAAAGTCTTGCCTATGACGGCGCCTGCCGCCGCAACGCCGGCCGTGATGGTCTTGCCGGTCGAGTCGAAGAACTGCTGGGGGCTGGGCGTCCGGCGCAAAGCACCAGACATCCTCGCGCCCCAGTTGGAGGCGCTGGCCTCGGCTTGCGTCCCGTACGTGTCGTCTCCGCTTCGAGGGGGTGGCTCGGCGTACCCGGGCCGCGACTGGGTGTCTGCGCCGCCGGACTTGGGGCCAGGGTGCGGGCCGCGGTTAGTTGCGCCGTACGGCGGATTGTCCCCGTAGTCGGCGTTCTCGTAGTCTAGGTGCTCGTGCTCCTGATCGTAGCTCGGGTGCTCCTCCTCCTTGCGCTGGCTTAGCGCCCAAACGACAAGTCCCGCGCTGGCGATGGTGACGGTGACGACGAGCGGAACCCAGTGGCTCCAGACGCCGCGCCGGCGGTCACTTGGCGAAGGCATGGTTGGCGGCGGCCGAGAGGAAGTCGCATCGCCCACGAGGGGCGGACTTTTCGGGATTGGGGGGTTCGGGACGAAGGGACTTGCGAGTTGAAGCTTCGACGCGAGGGGGTAAGCGACGGAATTGGGGGCGGCCAGGTCAAGTCGCACAGAATGTCTTGGAATGCACAAATGCAAGAGAAGAGACGCAATCTATTGCCGGCGGGGTTGGCATGCGTTTTGGATGCGGACAATTGGTGGCTGGGGGGTTGAACGATGTCAACAATGTGGAGCAGCCGAGGAGGCTTCCTAGCAACGCGCTGCCCGAGGCTGTTGCGGTAACATAGCGCCGCTGTACAGCCACAGCACTGGTAAATTGGCTGGTGGCTGGTAAGCTGCGCCACGTCTAATGCATGTGAACCAGCACTGTGCTAGCAAGCTGTGGCGCCACTCTAGCCACACTATCACGCGCCACATCTCAAGTCAACTTCTTTGGTGGGGTGAAATAATTGACTGTTTGCAACCGGATGACTCTTCAAAAGACGACAACTATTGTGCGGTTGTAGACGTGACAGAGCGATTCCGCTTTTCTGACGAAAACCTCAGACTAACAAGGACTACGACTATTACCATTCGGAAAGTTTATCCTCCAACCTGCGGTGCGCATACGATTCGAGCTTGTCCCCAGCTCATCATTGCCCCTCCATCATGCCGCACTCCGTCTCCAATGCGTCTACCGGGCTGCAAGCTCTGATCCTTTGCGGCCCGGGATCGTCATTCCCGACATTCACCTCGAATCCGGATGAGAATCCCAAGGCGCTACTACCGATTGCCAACAGGCCGATGGTCTGGTACCCTATCGACCTCTGCTATCGCACTGGCGTTTCAAGTGAGTATAGTCATGAAGTCCATTGAAGTGGGAGTCCGGGCAAAATCTCAAAAAGTCGCAGTTCTTAACTTTGAGACTAAACGCTATCTATTGAGAATGGCGTACACCACATGTTGCACTTGTTTCATACTGAGAATGTCGGTTAACTGACACCAGCGCAGAAATCACACTGGTTTGCCCCCCATCGGCAGCCAAAGCCATGAAGGCTGCTATGGGCACAAACCCCCATCTCACCGGACTACCAATGCCTAGACCTGAAATCGTCTGTCCAGCAGATCTCACACAGACGACAGGCACTGCGGAAATTCTTCGCCTGCCCGAGATCTACAACCACATCACCGGCGACTTCATCGTGCTCCCGTGCGATCTCGTCTGCGAGTTCGGCGCCGAACAGCTCTTGCAAGCGTGGATGGTTAAGGCAGCTAGCGCCACTGATCTCCTCGGTGCCAAGGACTTCTCAAATGGCAGCCATAGCCGTCCTAGCGGTGGCATCGGCGTCTGGTACGAGACTAAGAACAACGTCACGGTCAAGGGCGAAGAAACAGACTTTGTTGCGACCACTGCGCTACCACAATCTGCTACCATGCCCCCAAAAGGATCCATCCTGGCCAACGTTTCCCGTGTCGTCTGTACCATGCCCACTGATGCGCTCAAGGATCGGATGGAGGAACGCAAAGGGCTTGACCTCCGGTATGGCCTGCTGAGAGCCAACCCTCGCACCCGCATGCTCACAACTCACCGTGATGCGCACATCTACATCTTCCCTCGTTGGATTCTGGACTTCATCCAAGCAAACGACAGATTCGAGAGCATCGGTGAAGATGTTGTCGGCTGGTGGGCCAAGGCCAGCTGGCAAGAGGGACTGGCCGAGAAGCTTAAGATCATGGGGTCTTGCAAGGGAGACGCCGCAGAGCATGCCGAATTTAATCCTGATAGCGATGCGGGCGCTTCTGATCAGAATTCGTCGACAGCTGGCGACGAATCCTCGAGAGCAACGCGCAACTCTTCAGAGCCTATGCCCCCGATGATCGCCTACCTCCACTCCAACAAGACCCAAGAAGCCGGTTCCATCATCCGCCGTGTCGACACGGCGCAACTCCTGCTTGCAATTTCTCTGCAGCTGGCCAAGCTGCCGTCGCTGGAGGAGGCGGACCCCGATGCCGCGTCCCCGTTCGCGCACCCGCGCAAGGTTGCCTACCCCGAGGGCGTGAAGCCCCGGACGACCATCACTAAGGCCGACAGCCTCATCGCTGAGAACGTGACCGTCGAGGAGAAGACGTCCATGAAGGAGTGTGTGATTGGCGCCGGCTGCCAGATCCAGGAGGGCGCCAAGCTATCGCAATGCCTGTTGATGGACGGCGTCGTAGTCGGAAAGGGGTGCAAGCTGACTAAGTGCATCCTGGGCAAGCGGAGCGTGATTGGTGACGGTTGCATCCTCACGGACTGCGAGGTTCAAGAAAACCTGCTCGTCGAGCCGAGAAGTAAGTTGAACCCTTGCTATTCCTTGTCGGGATGCCATGCGCGTGAACGTGAAACTGACGACGTCTACAGCCGAGGACAAGGACAATAGACTCATGAGCTCGGAAGGACTGGAGGCCACGGAGGCCGAGATGCAGGAGGTACTGGGCCACGCGGACGATGACATGGACACTATATAATGGCAAACGGTCAAACTCGAAGAGTAAATAGATTGATTTGAGCAAGATTCGGAGTCATTTACACGAATTACAAGAACATCGCAACGCCATTTTGCATCAATCATTCTGGCGATTGGCTCTTCCTCAGAGCTCCCTGCCTAACTTTGAGGCTACATAGCCTTCGCCTGGAGGAATCACCGCTTGATCAATTACGCAGACATTTCTTCACGCGGAAAACGGACCGGGCCCCAACCGCAATTCGGCGTCGCGAGGCGAGCAGCAATCTTTCAGTTGGGTTGTTAACAGCCACAGCCCCATCGACAGTATATGAGAGAGCCTGAAGCGCCGATGCTAGAGACAAGATGGACTCGATTTCCATGGCGCATAGCACTGAGAATGCGTCCTAGTTTAGGCTGTTAGCAGAGCTCTAATATACGGTGATCCAAGTAACCATTCATCAACTCGCGGGGTGTTTCCACTTACACCAGCTCATAAAAAGTCGGGGCATTCTTGTCATAGAACACACATGATACTAAAACGATACCCCTGTTGAATGAATTGAATTATCTATTTGATTATACTCTTCTTACCGCTTTTTCCAGTCTTACAAGATGTAAAGAGGTGACGGGTGATGCTACTGCACCGGAACTGACACACACGTCTGTTCATCTCAACACTCAGCTAATGCCCACATCACACATGACATGGGAAAACAAATCGCTGGCAAAGTCTGGAAGGGTCTTCCTGCAAAATGACGTAAATATTTGCATTCCCCGCCAAGTTCTAAATGCACGGTTCGTACGTCTCTGATATGTCGATGGAACAAATCCTCGGAGACGACGACTTCACTAGATGATTACAAAACTTCCTCGCCGCGTACCGGGCCACAATTTACGGTATCCCCTTGCCGACATGGGATAGATACGGCAATTGAAACCTGGGAAGGGCCATCGAAGTCACATCTCGGCAGGCAGACGCAGGCACTCGGTCGTTTGGGCAAGAACAGGATGGCGTAAGAAAAACTAGGGGGACCTGAGGCTGTGAACGAACGTCTCCACAACAACGAAGCAACTCCATTAAAAAAAGAAGCAAGATGGGCTTTCTTTCTGCTGCGCGAGTTCCTTTACATCTCAGAAGTTCTGCTTGGGGAGACCTCTTCTTTTTTTTCCCTTGGTCTGATATTGCGACATTGGCAGCACCACCACCACCGCAAACACTGGGCTTTTAGTAGATGTAGATGGAGACGTCCCAGGTTCGGCCGATGAACGCAGGGAGGAGCACATTGCAGAAGACCAGAGAAAGATGGGGATTTCAAGGGGGGTGTGCAGTTCGGCAAGCTGCGAAATTACTGTGATTCATCTTCCAGGGATGCGGTCGTCCCTCGCTCTCTCTCCCGCTCGCTCGCTCGCTCGCTCAGCAGCGCCCAACTGGTGCGGAACTGGTGGACATTTTGTTCTCTGTCTTTTTGTCTCCGTGTTATTTAATCTGAGCCTCTCGATCGATCAGGTGTGACGCACGCCTTCTAAGCCCCCCCCCACTCCCCTGACGACGGGTATTAATTACAAAGGGACAAAAAAAAACTTATTTGCCGTCTTCCTTTTTATTTTTTGTTCCCGCGCTGCGCCTGTTCTTAGTAGGCGCGCGACGGCCATTCATCTAATCAACCTCGTTCCAAGTGTAGTTGCGGCCGCCCGACGGCGCCGACGGTGAGCGCCGGGCTCGCGAGGACCAGTTGGCTGGGGGGGGGGTTTAATCTATCAAAATCGATTTCGGTTCCCAACTATCGGCCACTCTCAGCTGCCCAGCCGAGTTCAAGAAGAAATGGGGCTGGGGTTTAAACTGTGGCTTGCTCCTCGGCGGTCGCTTGCAACACCGTGGCGGATCACACGAAGGTCCAAAAGGCTCGATCGGGTCTCACTGTAATTACGAAAAGACGAAGGCTTGTAACTTAAGTCGTTAATATCAAGGGCGGGTGCTATTCAAACTCTTTTTGGTGACAAGACTGTAATCCTGGGACGACGTCCGTGTAATCGAGCCATGCTGGGCTGTCAGTGGTGCAATTCTAAGCCATGTCGCTGTTTCTTTTCACAGATGACAGGCATGGGAAGTTCTATTTTGACCTCTTATATCTGCTGATATTCTAAATTTTTAATTCACTTCTCACTTTTGATTATGGTGTTGTAACGTTGTGTGAACCAGGGCTGCCAAGGCAGAGATGTTGCTGGCTTGTCATGCCCACTTTTGCCTGAGACAATGGAAAGAAACCGATCATCGCTGAGTACTATGACATTCAGACAAGAAGATGCACAAAGGGAGCCGTCATATTGATATGATTATAAACCAATAGCTGCAGTGCCATGCTCCCCTCGGAGTTGTCTGACCGCTTCGCGATCGGCTCCGGCAGTCATGGGAGGCTAGCCACGTCTGTTCAGGGGAGCCACGGCACTACAGCACCGTCTACTAGGTTGAGCTGATTGGGTTGTAAAATGGCAAACCTCAACTAGAAATAGTTCGTTGACGAGCTACTCAACGAGCTTGCCTCGCTTTGAGAGGCGGGGGTTACCTTGTACGGCCGAGCGATGGCTGTGAGCCAACCTAATCGGACTTGAACTAGCCTCGAGGTTGGGCCTTTTTCAAAACGAAAGGCCTGAAACGGCCAGAGAAGTATCCAAAAGAAATAACACAAAAAAGAAACGTCCCAAGTTGGCACAGGAAACGGGACATATGGGCTGCACATTAAGTTAGTGGCATGACACTACTGCACGCTGTCAACTCGGACATTTTTTTTTACCGTACTAGAACGTCAGCGACAGCGACAATCGCAAAGCCGAAAAGAAAGAAACTAAAAGCTGAAACCCAGACGATCTCTCCTCCCTTGATCGAGATTGGTTTGGGGTACATGTACATTCTTTGCTTTCCCATGATGGTATTCCAGAAAGCCCATGAACCCTCAAGACGAACTCCGCTACACAGGGGGGGGGGGGGGAGGGTCAGAAATCGCCTGATCGGCGCCCTTGACGATCAGGCCAGCAGAGAGAGAACTCTACGAGGAGGGCGGGCGATGGCCGCACCATCTGGGATGAGGGGGGCATCAGACAGAAGGTGACACAGCGCGGGAAGAAGAGACACTTTTGGGCTGAGTACGCGGGGGGACTCTGGCTGCTGTGTCCAACCACGACAATCGCCAAAAGAGAAAGGCAGCCAGCCAGCGTCGTGATGTAAGCGGGGGAATGTTGCGCTGATCGGCCTTACCAGGGGTCAAAGTCCCCTCTATGTCCCTTGTAAATGGTAACTAACTAAAAGCTGGGATTGGGTTGGCCTTATCGGAATGTATTTTGCCTCTTTTCTTCTGCTCGCGGAAACAACACAACACCACGGGACAACCGGGGGGGGGGGGTTCGGGAAACGAGTAAAAAGGAAATTACAATGTCGTCAAAAGGGGGGGGGGGGTTCGGTAAACGAGTCAAAAGGAAATTACCATGTCGTCAAAAGACGTTTTTAGAGCCGAGTAACCTGGGGTAGCATCGGGGCCATTGGTTCCATTGGTTCATGTATGTGTGAGTATGCATGCAAAGTGCAGCGACGGACTGCGCGCGAGCATCGATCCAGACCTGTGGGTTCCGATCGCTCGACGTGTGAGGTTTGTAGGTTGTATGGAACAAAGTGGACAGGTTGCGAGATGGGTGAGATGGAGGGGCGTGTGCATTGTAAAAGGCGGAAGAGTTCCTTGGGAAAAAAGCAAAGACATGCGAACGGGGGCGTGGCGTGTCTCTGTCATAGGGTGTGAGAGGTGGAATGGTGAGTGAGTGAGTGAGGGTGAGTGTGTCAATGAAGCTGAGGCTGTTTGTCCCCTTGATATCTTTCCGATTAGCCCTTTTTCACCACTGTGATAAAAAGCAAAAAGCTGAAAAAAGGAAAAAAGAAAAGGAAAGCAAAAAAAATGCCCGAGTCGACACACAGTGAGTGAGTGGGAGGAGCTGCACCAAGCAAGCTGTCAAGAGCCTCCACACCTGTCTAGAAAAAACCGAGAATTCCGGACCGTGTCTGAATTGTGCTGAGATGGCTAGCGCAATATGACCGATCACTTTCTCGGTGAGCAAGATGAAGGAAGACCTCCCTCCAGCCTCTTGGGCGGATGGAGGTTCTTAAGCTTTGCGCCAAATCCCATCCAGCAGCAGACTATCTGTTCTTCAAAAGGACGGCCAATGTGGTGGCCCTCTTTCTCTCTCGGCCAAGGCCGCGAGGTTCCAATCGAATGATATGATATTTTTAACCTTTTGGCACCCCCATAATTCGAGCGTGTTTTTTTTTTTCTCCGTTGCGTTGCGTTGCGTTCCGTGAGAGCGGATAACTAGTAGCGAGCCACGGAGGTTTAAATCAGGAAAATAAAGAGAGTTTTGGGTTCAACGTACCGACGCGGGGTACATTTCCTGCCAGTACCATGAAACGGCAGGCTATAAAAGTCATGGCTGGCGCCGTCAGATCCGCATAATGAGCCCAGCCCAGCCCCAACATCTGTTGCGTTGACCAAGGGCGACTTGATCCGACGTATCATGGTCTAGTTCCCTCCCACTCACCCGAAAATCAGGCTGCTGGCTTCGAAACATGATACCACTTGAGGAGAACAAGAGAAGAGAATGATCACATCTACCGCAAAAAAACACACAGCTCTCATGTTTTTGCCATTTGTGATATCCTTGTCAGCATTGGCACAATATGACGTCTGTCTTCCTTGGTTAGAGCGGGGTTGTCAGTCACAGTTCTGTATCAGTCAGTCTTCGATCCAATGGTGGTCGAACATAATTCGTCCCTTCCTCCCCACACTATTATGTGACATGCTTGTTTGTCTTGGACAACAAAACCATTGGACAGCTGAAAATCGTATGAGATTTGGTTGTTGGCCGCGCACCCATCGACAAGGTTGTGTTGCATTGGCCGCTTTGGTGCTTGCCTCTCTGAGAGCTTGTCGCTCACCTCGTCCACCCACCCACACACACACACACACACACACACGGGAATTG